GTTTTAAGCCTAATCTTAAAAGTAGAGGGGGTGACTCCTGAATACAAACTGGGAATATGTTCTGTAAAAGACTATGTTGAAAGCTAAAAGCTGTGCTTGCCATTCTACTTCTTTATACCAGAGGAAACCACAAGCAAGCCAGCATGGGCCAAAGCATGTTTGGCCCATATCCAGGAGTAAAGGTAGTTTTTTGTGTTGGGATAAAGGTCATTACTAGGGGTGGAGAAGGACCCTGTGTAAACCTCTCATAAAGATATGTAGTGCAGCTCTCCAGAGGACAATGGTGCAAGGGACTGTTGATACAAAAAGACACGGCACATATAAATCCAAAAAGAAAGGAAGCTGTTGCATTTTCTGCTATGCTGAGGAGACACTGCAATACCCTTGGCTTACCTGTCTCAGGCTGGCTTCCGTTTTAATATGTTGAACATCATGAATGTGTTCAACATATCGTTAGCTTCATAGCATAAGTGCCTAAGTCATTTTTTGGTCAAATTGAGATTTTTGCCTAACTTTACTCCCCTACCACTGCTGCATCATCCTGTCCGTCTGAAACACAAAACACAAAAAAATGACTTAGGCACTTATGCTATGAAGCTAACGATATGCAGTAACATGAAGTTTTATGAATGGAAAGCTGGACCAATGAAGGGTTGGTTAAGTATCAAAGGTGCTTTTCTCTTTTCCTTTCTGTTCCTGTCCTTTTCTTTCCTTTCTTCCAATTCTTTTGACCCACAGAGGCTAATTTAGTTACCAGCTCCAATGCATGTTATCTCTAATAGTATACATCACTGTCTGTCCTTACCTTTACTACAGGCCAGTAGTGGGGCTGGCCCAGTAGTTTAACAATAGCTGGGATACCATAGTGCAGACGCACGGCATTCTGGGCTAGCTCGGCATCTTGGTGGCGGGAGGTGAGATGCCGCAGGGCGCAGACCGCAGGTTCAGCAACATCCTCCTTCTCCCCAGCACGAAGCACAGCATGGATCAATGCCTCCACTCCACCATACTGAGTCACCAGCGTCTGTAGGAACACATGGGGAACAGAAGTCTGGGGTTTTTCACCATGAAATACAAATGTGAATCCACACATCAAAACAAAGACAAGTAAACATTAAGTTACATCACTTTGTTAAACTGACGTTCTTTAGAATTGAAATGTGTACACAGCTGAGGTGTTCATGACCAGTGTGACACAATCACACATGAACAAATAAAATCTGTTGGCCATTTATTTAATCTGATATTTTTAATGACTTTGGTTGGCAATAAGAACTTAAGAATTTCAGGAAATATTCATAGTAGTATGTCTTCATACTACGCCAGCATGCGTAAAAATGGATTTATAAAAGCCCAGAACATCGCACCTAAGCTTCTGCATATTGTACAATATGCAGAAGCTTCTGCTCATTTAGAAAATGATATTTGCCAGCAGTGTGTTTTGTGTATTTTAAAACTTGACTGCATGTCTGTGGACTGTGGGAGGAAGCCGGAGTATCCGGAGAGATCAACCCACGCAAACACAGGGAGAACATGCAAACTCCACACAGAAACACCCTGGTCTAATGTTGGAACTCAGAACCTTCCTACTGTGAGGTAACAGTGCTAATCACCAATCATTGCGCCGCCCCACAATACGGAGAACAACTAATAAACTCTGAGCCTGTGAACAAAGACAGCTTTTTTAAGAAGTGATAAAATCTGGAGCTTGTTCTGTATACTGAATTTTAAAACAAATCCTAAAAACTATTTGGAGCCAGTGTAAAGAATATAAAAAAGAAGTAATGTGAGCTTGCTACAACGTGTTAATAGTCTGGCTGCAGCACTTTCTATAGCTTGAAGGCGTGAAAGAAATGATTAGTCCAAGCCGGGCATTACCATTATTTAAATGCAATGACATAAATGCATGGATAATTTTTTCCAGGTCGGCTGATGAGACCATATGTCACAACTTAGGAATGTTCCTAACTGAAAGATGTGAGTCGTATTACACCAAGACTTCGAATGCTGAACTTAGTTGAACAAACAAAAGCAAGAGCCTGAATGTTTCTAAGATATATTTCAGGAGGAGCTACAACCATGGTCTCAATGTTGTTGGTGTTTACAACAAGATCATTCCTAGAGAGCCAGTTGGTAACAAGACTACACTAGTGTGGACAGCCTATCCAATTCAATTCACTCATTTATACAGCACCAAATCACAACAGTTGCCTCAAGGTGCTTCATATTGTACGATACAACAACACAAAGAAAATAGAGAAAACTCTAACAATCATATAAGCCACTATTAGCAGAGTTGGAAAAGGTACAGATATTCTGTACTGAAGTAAGAATACTCAAGTAAAAGTTACAAAGTAGAGGCTCTGAAATGTACTCAAAAACATTTGGAGACATTTTTGTGCAAAGCTAACTGAACCTTGTGCTATATTAACATAAAATTAAATAAAATTAAATAATATTAGATGGGAACTGAATTCAACAAGATGTCAGCAGATGTTTCATGAGTTCTCCTGGGTGATTTCCATCCTCTATACTGACACTACACTGTTTATGATGTCTTTTTCCCAGATGGTATAAAGTTGGTATGAAGGTGGAATTAGTCAGTGGATCTAAGGATCATCAAATTCATATGAATCTCTCCTATATTTGATGTAACCTCACTCTGACTCATGAAACCACAGCCACTGTGCACCAGTCACACGTACTTTTATTTACTTAAAGACAGTTTGTGTGTTTGCTGATGTCTGTTGAGCTGATAGAAACATTGCAAAAAAGTCACTCCCTTTATGATCGCTCCTCTTTAGTTGGACTTGCTAGATGCCGAAGTACCACATTCTGGTGTTGTGGCAAAAACAAAACAAAAACCCCCAAAAGAAAACAAAGCAAAAAAACACCACTTTTAACCCATGACTTTAGCACACACCATCTCTTTTTGTGCGACATCCTCTGGTGATTAATAAACAAACTGAATTGCTCTTCATCTGTTTAGTCTTAATCGTGTTGATGTTTGGAGGCTCACAGTAACAAAATAATAACTTTCCCCAAATGTGCTAAAACAAAAGAGTCGCTGTTTTGAAAATGTAAGAAGTAGAAAGTGCAGATATTTGTTTAAAAATATAGGAAGTAAAAGTAAAAAGTAGTCAGGAAAAAACTACTCAAGTAAATTACAGATACAGTTTTTAGGTATCTGCACTATCTAAATCACCTTTAAAACCCGGAGAGCAGCCAAATGGCTTTTAGCTAAGCTTTAGCTTCAGCCAAGTGGAAGCTAAATTGGCTAGTCATTCATATGTATATTAGGTTGTTACCTGGGAATTCTGGAGGGAGGGGAGTGGGGGTGTGTGAATGAGGGGGTGGGGGAGCTGCTAAAAGCTGTGCACTTCCTTTTGTGTTCTCTTGATGCATTCTCAATCATCCAGGGAAATAAATCTCCAAAAGTCACCAACTTGGAGTGTTTCAGTTTGCCATCTTAGGGAGAAATCAACACACATGGGTGTATGTCCTTTGTTGCTGAGATTTATTGATAAAAACAGTACAAAAAACCAACCATTTGTACACATATTTACAAATGGCCTGCTGAGTGGTGCACGGAGCATGTTCATTGGTTCATGGACCTCCCTGAACTAATGGCATTTATTGCAATTGTCATCTTGCGGGGGGTTAACAGGGTTCCATCTCTAAATGACTGCTGGTCAGCAAACCTGGGAAACCCACAGATCATTGGAACTATGGCACGAAACCGCTTCCAAGACATCATGCAACACCTACGCTTTGATGACAAGTCCACCCGCTGTGATCGAGCAAAGACTGATAAGTTCGCTGCAATTTCCAGTGTGTGGGGATCATTTGTCACCAACTGCATCACGTGCTACAACCCTGGTCTACATATCACCGTTGATGAACAGCTTTTCCCATCAAAGACTCGGTGCTGTTTCCTGCAGTATATTGCAAGTAAACCTGACAAGTTTGGGATCAAGTTTTGGGTGGCTTGCGACCTAAAATCCAAGTACATTTGCAATGTCTTCCCATATCTTGGCAAGGACCCCAATCGTCCCACTGGGGAGAGACTTTCTGAAAATGTAGTAATGAGGCTGATGGAACCATTCCTAGACAAGGGCAGAAATGTTACCACGGACAATTTTTTCACATCGCTTTCACTTGCGCAAAAACTTCTTAGACGGAAAACCACCATCCTGCAAATGTACTTGGATTTTAGGTCGCAAGCCACCCAAAATTGATCCCAAACTTGTCAGGTTTACTTGCAATATACTGCAGGAAACAGCACCGAGTCTTTGATGGAAAAGCTGTTCATCAACGGTGATATGTAGACCAGGGTTGTAGCACGTGATGCAGTTGGTGACAAATGATCCCCACACACTGGAAATTGCAGGAACTTATCAGTCTTTGCTCGATCACTGCGGGTGGACTTGTCATCAAAGCGTATGCGGCCAAACGGAAGAAGACAGTCTATATTCTTAGCAGCATGCACAGCGTGGTTCAGACTGATAACACCACCAAAAGGAAGCCAAACACTGTCACCCTTTACAACAAAACAAAGTGTGGCGTGGATGTGATGGACCAGATGGTTCGGGAGTACACTGTCCGCAAAGGAACACGGCGCTGGCCAGTCGCCGTGTTTTATAACATGATTGACATGGCAGCACTGAATGCACATGTGCTGTATCAAGCATGCACCGGGACGAAGGAAAGACGGGTGGACTTCCTGGTGGGCTTGCAACAGAGTTGGCTCAGCTCTCATGTAGCTGGAAGAAGGCAAGAAAAGAACAGTTGCTTCGGACACAACCCTCCACACCTAGCCCTGGAAAAAGAGCCATGTGTCAGGTCAAACACAAATGCAAGAACAATCATGCCACTGTGCGATGTGTTCACTGCTACAGATACACATGTGGTAAATGCAGACTACAGATACCATGGCAGTGCCAGGATTGTGAGTGATTGCTGAAAATGTTGAAATGTACTCACTCACTTTTTATTATTATTTGTAAATATGTGTACAAATGGTTGGTTTTTTGTACTGTTTTTATCAATAAATCTCAGCAACAAAGGACCTACACCCATGTGTGTTGATTTCTCCCTAAGATGGCAAACTGAAACACTCCAAGTTGGTGACTTTTGGAGATTTATTTCCCTGGATGATTGAGAATGCATCAAGATGAAACACAAAAGGAAGTTCACAGCTTTTAGCAGCTCCCCCACCCCCTCAATCACACACCCCCACTCCCCTCCCTCCAGAATTCCCAGGTAACAACCTAATTTACATATGAATGACTAGCCAATTTAGCTTCCACTTGGCTGAAGCTAAAGCTTAGCTAACACCAGCCATTTGGCTGCTCTCCGGGTTTTATAGGTAGAAAGGTAGAAGCCTGGGGATGCTACTGTTAAACAAAGTAATTTGTACTTTGCTACTTCCCATCTCTGCCTATGAGCTAGCGCTTTGGCAACAGTGGGAAGGGAAAACTCTGCACTTCTGCACATTTTTATTTATTGGTTTACACTTGTGTTACTAACCTCTTCTCAAATAACATAATTATTTTCAAAACCTTTTTCTTGCTGTTTCTTACCACCCCAGTCTTTTGTTGCCCTGTCCCAACTTTTGAGAGATGTTGTTGCCATCAAATTCAAAATTGGCTAATATTTTTTAAGAAATAGTGAAATGTCCCAGTTTAAACATTTGATATGTTTTCTGTGTTGTGGTTATAATAAAAAATATGAGTTCATGCATTCTGTTTTTATTTACATTTTACACAGCATAGCACCTTTTTGTTGGAACTTGCAGCGTTCTAGAAATCCTTTACTGTTACAACACTTGTAAGTGGTAGAAAGTATTCCTGACAGAAATGGTGACATCATAGATTTTTCTTTTACTCCAGTTCAGCGTTGCGTTAGGGCTAGAGCCTGTCCAGCTTACAATCTGTACAGGCAAACATACTGGATGTGTATGTGAGTGTTTGTGTACCTTAAGACATTAAAATTGTACTTGTTTACATGTTAGTTCCATGTAGTCTTGAAAGTTGTGTGTCTGCCATCTCATCATGATTACCTTGTTGCGTGAGTTATTGCATGTCAGGTTGGACAGAATGCCGGTGGCACAGGTTAACATGTTCACATCATCTGAGCCCAGCTGAGTGACCAGTATCTGCAGCAGACCATCTAATCCCTCCTACAGAGCAGAACCAATAGAGATAAAGAAAGGATCAATCACAGCAGAGATGTTTTGGAACAAAGTTAAAGTATATATGTCCTGGGATAAATACATTTCTATACATTTTATGGAGCAGGATGTCTAACCAAACAAGTATCACTAGGTTTTTTTCTAGGCATCAGTTGACAGTCGTGATGTTATTAAAACTTATATAAATATAGTAATCTTCTCCTCCTTCTCATGTCATTTTTAGTATATTCTGAAAATCCAAATGGATTATTTTTCTCCTAATTGTTGATCATCATGATTATTGCTCCATGAAGCAGTTGTGAAGGCAACTGTGGAACATCAAAGTACTTTTCCTGTTCCAATCCACTGAATGAGCTAGTTTGCTAACTGATATTTCGATGGAAATTTATTACATGGTGCTTGAGGATTGTGTGTCAGTCGTGTTAATGTCATAGCTAGCAAGTTAAGAGCAACTGTTGAACTGCACTAACTGAAGTGACTTGCAAATGAAATGATACTTACATACCTTTTCTATTCTGAGCACTCAAAGTGTTGCATATCTAGAAGTTACCGTTAGGATTTTGTAAAAAATGAAAATCATCCACAAGGCCAAGATTGCACCATTTAGGGTTCTGGGTTTTAAGGGGATGTGTTAATGGGATATTTTGTCTAGGAGCTTGATATTGCATGAACCAGCTTATATAAAGTCATCAGTATAACTAATGACCAGAGATCATTTGTTTTGGCTTCTTTATCTTTACATACACACGAGTGACTTCATGTCATCACTGTACCTGTTTGGTTGCTGCGTCTGACAGATTACGGAGTGTCCACAGACAGTTCTGGATCAGACGCTGGCTAGACCCTGTAAGATGCTGCCCCAAAGCCTGCATGCCTCCTGAGCACACATGTGAACATATGGTTACAGAACATGTAGCATGTTGCGCTAAGCCCACAGTATATTCAGCAGTAGTTACATACCAGCTTCTACTATAGCTGGTTTGTTGCTGGGGCAGACAGACAGCACTTTAAGGACACGGCTTGTCGTCCAAAGCAGCTTCTCATAGTTGTAGTTTCTCATGATGAAAACCAAACACTCTGGACCCCCATTGGCTAGAATAATCAGCTGACAAGAAACAGGAAGTAGGAAGTGTTGATTAGGTATTAAAGAAAATAAGTAGACCAATAGTCTCCTTTCCAGCTCCAGGGTCCTCTTCTCACCTTGCTTTCCTGGTTTCCGTAGGACAGGAGTTGCAGACAATCTGTAGTAATGGCTAAAAACTTTGGGTTGCTCTTTTTCAATAAGGGAACTATTCTCTGCAGGCCATCAGCAAGACGCACAGCCATCTTTGCTCCCTCTTGATGCAGCAGCAGGTTGTGAAGAGTGGTAATTCCGTAAAATAGGACTGATTCTACTGGTGAACTGCACAATGAAAAATGGAAAAGGATAGAGATCCCATAAAATTAATAGATTTCAAGGCACATTAGACAGTTTATGACCTTAACTGACTTCTATCAGACACAGATAACTCATTCGAAAGAAATCCCTGAGACTTGAGTTCAAGACTTTTTTTCCAGTGTCCATGACTTGATAGCAGCACCACTCCCTTCATGAAGCATCTGCTATTGGTGAATTCTGCAACAGCAAAAACGATGGTAGAATACCACTTTTTGGATGAAAATGCAAAATAAGGTAGTGCCCCGAAAAACACTGTGCATAAAGGTGCTCAGATGTGTTAATATGGCTGCTGAGTATCAGGCCTTGTTTCTAGAAGCTTCTAGAAATTAACTGATGATGTTCTTTAGGTGCCACACTTGTGTGTTCTAACTTTATAGTACATGCATATAAAAACAGCCCTGATGGCTACTTTGATATCTGTTTTTATACTGTTGAATGTAAATATCTAAATCCACCAAGACTTCAGAACCATCAGCAGCACAAAGTATGGCCGCTTTGCTCAAGCAGACGTTTTTGCAGTTGCTAGTCTGAAATTAATTTAATTGGACAAAAAGGGTCCAACAACACGGGGTTAATAATGCGGGGAAAAAAGCTTCGGCAATGAGGCAAAACCAGTTAATAATAGTTGCAGAATACATTGGTAACAATATGATAACCTGCTAGCAATAAAAAGGTAATATCTGTGCATTAGACTTTTCTTTTCTTTGTTTTTTTGTAAGAAGGCTTTAAATGGTAATAGCCTCATAATAATGAGGTTACATTTGCTGATGTTTTAGCATAATAACAAAGTGATTAAATTAATCCTAACTTAGGTTTCCAGCATTCTGCTTTGCTTAAAATCAATGATGTAAATATTGTGTTTATTGTTCAGGCTTGTTAAATGCAATTAGGTATGTTTGGCAGTTTCTGGGTAATAAGCAGGAGTCAGCGCTGCAAAATGCAAAACTGCCTGCTTCTATTCAATAACACATTAATAACATATTAAAGCAAACTTTAAAAGTGTGTAATTATTACTTTAATATTATTATTATTTCTATTTAATACAATCACTGATGGAAAGGAGAGTTCGTCCGTTAGTCGAACCTCGGATACAGGAGGAACAATGCGGTTTTCGTCCTGGTCGCGGAACACTGGACCAGCTCTTTATCCTCTCCAGGATACTTGAGGGTGCATGGGAGTTTGCCCAACCAGTCTACATGTGTTTTGTGGACTTGGAGAAGGCATTCGACCGTGTCCCTCGGGGTGTCCTGTGGGAGGTGTTGCGGGAGTATGGGGTGTCTGGCCCATTGCTACGGGCCATTCGATCCCTATACAACCGTTGCAAGAGCTTGGTTCGCATTGCCGGCAATAAGTCGGACTCGTTCCCGGTGGGTGATGGGCTCCGCCAGGGCTGCCCTTTGTCTCCGGTTCTGTTCATAATTTTTATGGACAGGATTTCTAGGCGCAGCCAAGTGGCGGAGGGCTTTCGCTTTGGTGGCCTCAGAATCTCATCTCTGATTTTTGCAGATGATGTGGTTCTGTTGGCTTCATCGGGTGAGGGCCTCCAGCTCGCACTGGAACGGTTCGCAGCCGAGTGTGAAGCAGCGGGAATGAGGATCAGCACCTCCAAATCTGAGGCCATGGTTCTCAGCCGGAAAAGGGTGGAGTGCCCACTCCGGGTCGGGGATGAGTTCCTGCCCCAAGTGGAGGAGTTCAAGTATCTCGGGGTCTTGTTCGCGAGTGATGGGAGAAGGGAGCCGGAGATCGACAGATGGATTGGGGCTGCAGCTGCAGTAATGCGGACGCTGCACCGGTCCGTCGTGGTGAAGAGGGAGCTGAGTGTAAAAGCGAAGCTCTCAATTTACCGGTCGATCTACGTCCCTACCCTCACCTATGGCCACGAGCTGTGGGTAGTGACCGAAAGAACGAGATCGCGGATACAAGCGGCAGAAATGAGCTTCCTCCGAAGGGTGGCTGGCCTCTCCCTTAGAGATAGGGTGAGAAGTTCGGCCATCCGGGAGGGGCTCAGAGTAGAGCAGCTGCTGCTCCACATCGAAAGGAGCCAGCTGAGGTGGTTCGGGCATCTGACAAGGATGCCCCCTGGGCGCCTCCTGGGTGAGGTGTTCCAGGCATGTCCCACCGGGAGGAGGCCCCGGGGCAGACCCAGGACACGCTGGAGAGATTATATCTCTCGGCTGGCCTGGGAACGCCTTGGTATTCCCCCGGATAAGCTGGAGGAGGTGGCTGGGGAGAGGGAGGTCTGGGCCTCTTTGCTTAGGCTGCTGCCCCCGCGACCCGGCCCCGGACAAAGCGGATGAAGATGGATGGATGGATGGATGGATGGATGGATGGATGGACAATCATTGATCAAAGAAAGGTTCAAGAAATGTGATGATGACCTGGAAACACTCGTGCAAAACACCTAAAAAAATATGTTGTTAATGCTAAAAATTTAATAAACATGTGTAAAACATGAATCAAAAGTTAGCTTGAAAATAATGCATGCTATTTTATCGTGGATCACAATACTGTCCAAAATATCTAAAATAGTTTTTGAAAAACTTATATAATACATATGAATAGGTCAGATTTGCATGGGAAAGAATGGAGCGAGGGTAATGTTGGTTGAGCTTGTATTAAAAGGCAGAAGTAAAGAGGACATAGAAAGGAAATCTGCATGTTGATAGCATTGATGCACCAAGCAGGGCTCTCTCTGTCAAGCTCTTTTTCATTTTCTCTTCTTTAAATTCAATTTTCTTTCATTTTCTGTACAAATTAAGCTCCCACATCAATTATGAGTGTGCAATATCCTCTTCTGTTAAGCCTGAGTGTATGGAATTATTTAGCAGCCCTTCCTGAAGGTTGGAATAGTTCCCGTAATCAGTACTGCTAGCTTGTTAGCCATATCTGCTACAATTGTCTGTTGATAAACTTTGTTAAGCTCCTTGTTCCACTGGGTATGTTGGTAAAGAGGATATGGGCTACAGGGTATCTATATCAAGGAGGCAACATGCAGTAAACACTCACATATAAAAATGTAAAGAAGGTGGAGAAAATCTTAAGCACATAAGTACTCTAAGGACTTTTAAATAAGTACTATCCCTTTAACCCCTGGAAACAATTTTTCGTAAACTTTATATTATTCATGAATGCACTTCATTAAAGTGTATATATACTTACTTCTGCCGTTTGCATCTGCAATCTTATTCTTACTACCCAGGGCTTGTGACCATAAGTAAAACAGGGCACTTCCACAATCAGCTCTCTCTTCATTTAAACAGAGCGATACAGAGGTCCATCACTGCTGATGCCACAACAACTCATTTGTCGGTCTCCCGCTTCACTTGCACCTTGCACGTAAACAAGAACCCGAGATACTTGAATTCCTTCGTTTGGGGCAGCAACTCATTTCTGCCTTGACGTTGGCACTCTACCCTTTTTCGCCTGAGAATCTTGGCATCAGACTTGGAACAGTTGTTTCTCATTCCCGCTGTATTACATTCAGCAGCAAAATGCCCCATTGCAAGCTGGAGGTCTCCAACTGATGATGCCAAACCACAGGATTTGGTGGTTCCGCCCCTACTTGGTGTTGGCTCTCTCTGTGGTGTGGTATTATTTCCTGTTCCTGTTCCATTGGCCAAAAGTTTTTTTGTGTAGCTTATCTATTTTTTTTCTTTTATAATAACTCATTTCATGGAATAATCTTCTGCACCCTGCTGAATCATAATACTAACTTTGTCTTTAGGGATTTGCTACAAAAACTTAGCTCATAGCGAAATCACTAGCAGCATGTGTTCTTCCCCTGTTCCTCCCATGCTTATTTTAAAGACCTCATAGTGTCATAACACTCCAATAGAGCACTTTGCTCTCAGACTGCTGTTTACTTGTGGTTCCTAGCATATTTAAATATCGAATGGGAGGCAGAGCCTTCAGCTTCAGAGTCCCTCTTCTGCCGAACCAGCTTCCAGTTTGGATTTGGAAGACAGGGACCCTTTCTTCTTTTACGATTAGGCTTAAAACGATCATTTTTGATAAAGCATATAGTTTAGGAGCAGATCAGTGGACCGTGAATCACCGTTAATTTTGGTGCAATAAAGCTGCTGTGAGCTTTCCATGATGCACAGAGTGTTGTTTTTCACTTTGCATTTATACACCACTCTGTATTTAATGCTTAATACTTAATTATAATTAATCTCTGACTCTCCTCAACAGTCAGAGCTTTAATCTGCCTTCTTCCAATTACCCTGAACCGGTAGCAGCAGATGGCTGCCCCTCCCTAAACCTGGTTCAGCTAGAGGTGGCTGTTGTTGTGAATGGGTGGAATGGGTCCAACGTATTGCCTAAATGGGGACCAAGCTCTCACTGCGGTTGCACAGTGACTGATCTTCCCATAACCATAGCCACGTTAAGGTGGATAATGTTAAACTGGATATTTAACTTGAGCAGATATTTCTGCTGTCTAGCTAAATGTAATTAAATGAAAACCACTCAAATGAATCTAGCAATTATATTTCAATAGTTTCATATAAGACACAAACCTCAGTCTTTCAAATGACAGTACAGTACAGGACCTGGCTGTGTGTGGACTTTGTCAGCCTTTCAAACATCTAGACGTCTGATTTCTGCCAGAAAACTTTACTTGTATTTCTACAGACAGGACGGTCTAGTACAATTAACATTGTTGTCCGAACGTGTGCATGTCTGCTCTACCTTTGTTCTCAAGTCCACATTACTGTTCCAAGTTCACTTACTTCCTGTTTTATTTTGTTAGACCTTTGTCTCTTGTGCTTTTTATTTAATTTTACATCCCAGTTAGGTACAAATGTCCTCCCAGGTATCTCCTGTTGCCCTCATCAGTTTGTTTATTTATTCCCCCAGTTTGTCTGAGTTCTTTGCTCTGGCCTCCCCCATTCCTCATGCATGTGTGTGTCTGACCTTTGTTTTTCCTTAGTTTTTTCTTTCCTTGCTCCTGGCTGTCCCATATTTTGTACGGTGTTGGGGTTTAGCATTGATGTTGCCTTTTTCTTAACTATTTTCTGTTTAGAGACAAATAGACAATCAGTGAAAAGTGTAAAAGAAAGTTGGTGGTTGCATTCTTAATAAGTGTTGTATTCAAAATGACCAGCAGTTTGTTTGTTTGTTTTACATCTTGGACTGGACATTAATAAGTCAAAGATTCATATTTAGAGCATTTGTAATGGCCTTCCTCTGTGTTTTGCTTTTCAGTATGTAAGTATTTTAAGTTGCCATATGCTTGCCTTATTTATAATTGTACAAATTGTTATTTTTTATTTGTATCAATTATAGTACTAGAAATGTTCATTATTATTTCATCTTTATGTACTTCATTTCATGAACGTCATTCCCAACCAGTTTTTCTGCAAAGCCCTTAAAACATATTTCAAGCACTGAAATGTTCAATACTTTAAAGTCCTGCTTGCAACAGATGTACAAGGTTTAGATTCAAGGTAACGTTGCCAAACCACGTTGACAATGAGCACAATCACTACGTCCAGATAACAGGACACAATTTGCCAGATTCTGCTACCAAGTATAGCAAAGCCTCTGGTGTATAGAAGGCAGTTTGGCATAATGTTTTAGCCTAAGTGCTGACAAGGCAAAATCATTGAACATAATTCTAATAACAACAATCTAAGTATTTGTACCTTAGCATTCGGACCAGTGCTGGTATCCCTCCAGCCTTGAATATGGCCAGCAGTCCCTCCCTCTGGTGCGATAGGCTGTGAAGCACACTGGCTGTGCAACGTGCCGTCTCCGTGTCAGTTGTTGTCGTCATGGCACACACCACGGATGCCACCATAGCTGGAGACTGCACCAGCACGCGGAGACTGGCCTCCTTACGGGTTAGCTGGTTGACAATCATGGCCGCCTTGTTCACGACAACCTAGAAAATAAAGAAGCTAGCCATCTAAAAAAACACTGTTTCCTTGGTGTTCAACAAGCTAATCCTTAGTAATTGATTGTGTGAACTCTGTACCGGATCCTCGTCTCCCAACAACTTGGTGAGTTCTGGCACTGCCCTGGTGGCCAGTTCAGCATCATCTTGGTAGTTTATCAGGTGGACGAGAGCTGTCTTTAGCAGCTGAGAAGGTTCAGCCAGTCGTTGCACATTGCTCTGCTGTGAGGGATCTGACTGGACAGGCATGGCTGCCTCCCCTTCTACCAGAGTCTCTGGAAACATGGCAGCCCTGACCCGCTGAGCCCGGGTAAGAGAGTACTGAGCTTCTAAATCTGTTGGAGGGAGATGGCAACAAGAGTTATGGTACAGTGTGTGTAAACTGCAAATCTCATAAACCCATATGCCATCAGTAGAAGAATTTAAAAAAGCAAATCAAATGCTCAAGCTACAACATTTTATTTCAGGAAAAACATGAGCTCATTTTGAACTTGGTGACAAGAACACATCTCAAAGAAGTTGGCACAGGCACAACAGAAGGCTGGAAAATACTGGCAACTGCCTGTGTTACCCCTTACCCTTCTAGCAGACGTGCCTGTGGTATCAATCAACTTATCGCATTTACAGGATTTTAAAAAAAAGTTTAACGCAGGACCTCCTTGCTCTTCAAAAACTTTTCTATGGTCAGACGAATCAAAAATTGTAATTATTTTATGGAAAAGATCCTCTGGACTAAAGAAGAGAAGGTCCATCAGCAATCAGTTCAAAGTCTGCCTCCATGGTGGTAAGGGGTTGCATTAGTGTATATGCAATTACCAGTTTGTTTGGAAAGGCACCATCGATGCTCAAAGGTATATATAAAATTATTATATTATATATATTATTATATTATTTAAAGGTATATATAAATTTTAGAACACCATATGCTTTCATCAAGACATATTAGAGCAGGACAATGCTAAACCACATACTGGACTAAATGGCAACTGGACTGATTTTTGTATAGTGCTTTTCTACTTTCCTGGAGCACTCGAAGCGCAATTCACCACATTCACCCATGAAAACCCATTCACACAAGCACTTCCTTCTATGCTTTTAAGTGCTCACTAACTACTGGTGACCAAGATGGTGGCGCGTGAACAACGTGAGGCTCAGTGTCTCTCCAGAATCTGCTATTTAGCGGTTTTTTATCTACTTTTCATCAGATTATTCATCCAGAATTGCTGACCTACAGCAGACAAGAGCTTCTGGACATCTGGACTCATAACTCCAACAGTTTTATCGCCAATCTCTGACTCATCCCAGAGATCTCCAGAACACCGGAG